CTTGAGCATTGAATTTTCCCTCCGTCTGTATTTCTCATTAATACCTGTGATTTATATGATGTCAGGAAATTCACATTCAAATGCAGTTAGAAATTTTAGCTGGAGAATAAGATATACTAGGACAGCTTGTAATCATAGTTGGTCAATGTTCCTCAATGGAAATTTGGCTTCCTGGTCAAATGAGAAGAGTTGTGGGAAGAATGAACAGAAAAGGAGGGGGCATGAAATGAGGAAAATTTCCTACAAATATGGAGTGTTTTGATTTTTTTTAGAGCGCAGATACATTGGCTAAAGAAGGACCAGCCACCCAAATAGAATAAAATGTCACCCTAAGCAGCCCTCTTCCTAGTTTTCCCAGCTCTTTTCCACACTTGGGTATCCGGCTGTTCCTGTCTTCCCAATATCTAACAGGTTTCCTGTTACCAAAGACATACACTTTGAAGGAAAAGAGGAAGAGAAAAATTATTTATTGAGTGCTTACTATGTGCCAGGCATATTAATATTGATAATCTCATCTGATACAGCAACACTGAGGCACATATTAGAATGCCCATTTGATAGACAAGATAAAGAGTGAGCTTCCAAGAAGTTATAAGACTTGTCTATGGTCACACAGTCAGTCAGTAGATGAGTTTGGGATTTTAAACTTGGGTCTTCTGATTCTTGTTCTCATTCCACTCTTTGCCCCTCCCTACAGTTACATTGTCTTTAGAATGATCAAAGTGTACAAACTGTACTCAAATACAGCATAACAGGTTATTGGTCTTGCTTATTACATGTTAACACATCAAACAATGTTCAGTATTACCTCCAGTTTCAGCTTCTGGTTCTCTTTAATTTCTATTCCCAACCTTTGTATGATTCTCTCTCATTTCGATCTCTTCTAATCACTAAAACATTAAGGGCTACAGTGAAGTTTCAAAGCACTTAACTCGGAGTTTCCTGAATTCTATTTTTAGGATTATAGTGTCTTGACTTCCTCCCTCCTGAGTACAGAATCTTGAATTCCTCCTGCTTTGAGCTCTTCGTGGCTGATGCTCTAAACCTCTGTCACCTCTAACTCTTCTCCAACTTCCTCATGCTTCCTCACCTCAGTTCCTCTAAAAATCCTAAATTCCTTACCTCCTCACCCCACAATATCATCAACCTGCTATGATCTTATTTCCAAATTTACAGTTCTCATATTTTTAACAGATAAATACTACCTTACAGAAACCATAATTTACTCGTTACTCTTGATCCATTCAGACCGAGATTCCTCTGATCCTCTTGGGAAAAACCTTGTTTGTCTTGTCCAACTAAAATAAATACGATATTAAAAACTGAGAAACCAAAAGTTCTGAAATTTTGTATTTTAAAGATTAACCCATTAAAAGCTAGAAATATTCATTTTAGGATCATATAGAATATTAGTCCTGTTTTTCTGTTTTATATTTGTAATACAGGAACAAAAAAGGGAAAAAAGAATGTGCTCAGAAATGAATAGGCCCAGTATGGACTAATGCTTGGTGCTTTGGAATTAGTATCTCTCAACCTCAGAAAAAACATTGTACTTAAACTCTCAAATCCCTAGGCTTAACCAAGGCTTTCATGAGATGTGACAACTCAACATTTTCTCTCTTCAAGTTTCTCAAAATTCCTTGGGATTTTAAAATTAGGTTTGCCTAGTGGCATTTAATAGAATAATCATGATGGAAAGCAGAGTTACAGTTTGAGAGGTAAGTCAGTAATTAACAAAGGGCTGCCTGCCATCAGATCTCCCTGACACAGCCCACTTTACATGGGGAGCTTTTAATAGAAATGGTGGAACTTTCTTAACTACAGAGCTAAATAGTGCTGAGTAATCCTTCTAGTTTTGCAGCTAGGTTCTATCATGTGTAAAACATTGTAATTCTCTGGTTTCCACCTCAGCGACAAATTCTTCCCATAAATCAACCACCATGATTAACCAAAGGGAGTTAAGTGAAAAGTTTGAATAAACAGTTCACTCAGTCATCTGATTTTTAGAAGACAATAAGAGTGTAACATCAGGGTCCAGCTGAGAGACAAGAACCACACCTATTATTTGAATAGAGTGGTTTTTATATGAAGAATTTTTAACTTGTTAGCTAGGTAACTGAAAGGATAAAAAGAAGACCCTAGGGTTTCACAATCGTAGCAACTGCAGAAAGCTCTGGGAGTGACGGCTGTTTTAAAATAAAGAGGAAAGGAGTTGAATAATTAAAACTTAGAAACTTAGAGAGGGAGTTGCCATGCAGAGCTGAAACTCAGACCTCTTAGAGAGGCCTGGCTGGCTGGAGCTCTTGGCTCTGAGCGGGGTGCAATGAGGCTGGTTCTGCACGTGGTGGGAAAACTGCAAACTGCATCCAGGTACTGCTATAGAAAGGCTCTGCAGCTGCTGGCGTGAAGAAGTGTTGCTGGGGCAATAGTCATGGCAGCCACTAGCAGACAGGAAGCCCCAATTAAGCAGAAGGAAACAAAACGGAAGGAACAAGTTCCTTCTTCCTTCTCCAGCTTCGTGGTTTTTTCCTCTATCACCCCTAGTGGCGAAGCCCAGCAGAGGCGCTGGCAAGGCAAGAATGTGGTTTTTAAAGTTCCATCACCAGCATCATAAAGCCGAGTTTAGAAGGGAGAGTGTGGAGCTGAGAGACAATAACTTAACAACTGGAGCAAAGAGTAGCTTATTCTGCAGTCCACAGCTTCTAAAATAGCCATCTTTAAATCTGCTGAACCTCCCCACACCTTTCTTTACTTCCAACTTCTTAATATCATTGACTCTTCACGAGTTTGGAGTCAGAGCTGGGTTCAGATTTCAGTTTTCACTTACAAGCTGTGTGACTGTGAGCAAGCTTTTTAAAACTCTTATAGACTTAATTTCTTCATCTAAAAAACCAAGATAACAATATTATTTCATTGGATTGATGCAAGTAGTAAATGAAATACAGTTCATACGAGGTATACTTAGCCTGTGGTACAACATCTGGTACTAAGTAAGGGAAGGAGGGAAGAAAAGAAAACCAAACAAGGAAGAAAATGTACCTAGTTGCCACTACATTCCTTGTTTCTGTAATTGGATCGCAAGGCTATAGTTGATATTTATAACTTTCTTCTTCCACTCCCCATTTAATGTTTCTTTTTCGTTCAGCCAGTACGTCAGCTGGTTATGGTTGTCTGGTAGGGTGATTTAAAACTTTATTCCTGAAGATACTGAATCCACAGAGAGCCTGTCTTTTTTGGTTGCAGAGTAGTCTTCCATTAACTTTTATAATTGGACTTGGAAGTACCAAGAAAATCCCCTAGATTCCAGATATAGTTCTGTCTGTCCTCATTGTGTGCTAGTAACCCAATTTCCTTTTGGTAATCAAGACGATCAGTTACACCAGCCAGTAACTCCCTTCTTTACCTGTGGTGGTGGTGGTTGTTAGGTGCCGCTGAGGCCGTTCCGACTCATAGCAACCCGATGTACAACAGAACGAAACACTGCCCCGTCCTGTGCCATCCTCACAATCATTGCTATGTTTGAGCCCATTGTTGCAGCCACTATGTTAGTCTTGTTGAGGGTTTTCCTCTTTTTCCTGACCTTCTACTTTACCAAGGATGATGTCCTTCTCCAGGGACTGGTCCCTCCTGATTAACATGTCCAAGGTACGTGAGATGAAGTCTTGCCAACCTCGCTTCTTAGGAGCATGCTGGCTGTACTTTTTCCAAGACAGATTTGTTCATTCTTCTGGCAGTCTATGGCATATTTAATATTCTTCACCAACACCATAATTCAAATGCATCAACTCTTCTTCAGTCTTCCTTATTTATTGTCCAGATTTCAAATGCATATGAGGCGATTGAAAATCATGGCTTGGGTCAAGCGCACTTTAATCCTCAAGGTGACTTCTTTGCTTTCTAACACTTTAAAGAGGTCTTTTGCAGTGGATTTGCCCAATGTAGTATGTTGTTTGATTTTTGTCTGCTGCTTCCATGGGTGTTGATTGTGGATCCAAGTAAAATGAAATTCTTGACAACCTCAAACTTTTCTCCGTTTGTCGTGATGTTGCTTATTGGTCCAATTGTAAGGATTTTTGTTTTCTTTATGTTGAGGTGTAATCCATACTGAAGGCTGCAGTCTTTGATCTTCATCGGTAAGTGCTTCAAGTCCTCTTCACTTTCAGCAAGCGAGGTTGTGTCATCTGCATAACACAGGTTGTTAATGAGCCTTCTTCCAATCCTGATGCCACATTCTTCTCCATATCATCCAGCTTTTCAGATTATTTGCTTAGCATATGAATTGAATAAGTATGGGATACATTCGCCTGTCATTTTGTTGTACTGTGGTGGCTTGCATGTTGCTGTGATGCTGGAAGCTATGCCACTGGTATTTCAAATACCAGCAGGGTTATCCATGGTGGACAGATTTCAGTGGAGCTTCCAGACTAAGACAGACCTGGAGATCTACTTCTGAAAAGACTAGCCAGTGAAAACCTTATGGATAGCAACGGAACATTGTCTGATATATCTTAATCCATATCAGTTGGAATATGTTTTCCCAAAGTTGTCCACAGCTGATGGGTAGAGAAGGGCACATAGTTCTTTGTGGTCTGTTGGGCTCTTTTATGCTCATTCTTTTCTTCCACTTAGAATGACCTTCAAGAGCTGCCTCAAAGATTACCTCCTGTGAAGTCTTCCCTGATCCTGCTCCCACCACACTGCCCCTGCTGGTCCTAAAATATTGTCTTCTTTCTTGAGCTTATGTTTATGGAGTTCTGTCTTCTTATTTGCAGTCTACATAAACAATATATTGCTTTCCACAGCCAGTGGCAATGCGAAGTCTCCTCATGATTTCTGCAAGTTCCTGAGGAACCATTTTCTCATGGTTACTGCTTTCGCTGGCTCCCGGGCTGTCTCTGTTTTCCCTTGAATCAACCCAGACATGAAACTCAGCCCCTTCACTGGTTTTCACAAGAAAGTTCACCTCTGCAAGGGTTTTTGTGAGTTTGATAACTTAATTGGGGGGAGAGAGGTTATATAGAAAAATTCATAGCCTCCTGCCTAGAGCTCGTGTATCTTCTCTTTTCTCCCCATTTCCTTTTTAAAGTAAAATATGCCTTCTTTTGTCCCATGTATAATTGTTTCACATCCTTCTCACAGGCTTTTGGGGCTGCCAACATGCGTGTCCCATGGGGATTCACCTACTACAAGTTGATCTATTAAGGCATATTGACCAAAAAGGCATCTATCTCTCTAAGAGGAATTCTTCTACCAACTGCTATGAGAAAGCAATTTGTCTCATCACATTTATGTAGTTCTTTCCACACATATATTTTCTCTTTCTGGATACTAAACTCCTCAAGGCTAAGAATTATTTCTTCTTCATCTTTCTGATCTCCATAGTCCCAGCCTGAGAAGTAGGTGGTCAATAAATTCTTTATTAAATGAATGAATGAATACACTTTATATAACTTCAGTCTCTTAATAACAGAAACAAATGAACTCCTTTCAAGTAGACATTCTTGAATTATAAGCAGCTAGTCCACTTTAGGTATAAGTCAAAACACAGACCATGGTTTCTTTGCCGGTATATAACATTTATTAGGGAATGACAGAAGACATGGTATCACGGATATTGAAACAAATAACAGGCAAGATCATTATGATCCAAGGGATGAAATAAGATATTGAAATATGGAAATGTCTGGCCTACTTCTTAGAAGCTGAATGTTGGGTGCATAGCTTCCATTGTCCACGGTGGCATATGAAGAATTTCCCTTGGCTAAACTCTGGTGCCTTTGGTGTTGGGGGAAAAAGATATAGGTAACTAGAAACTAAAAAAAGATCACAAAGAAGACAAAAATTAGCCTGGTGGACTGTTCTCAAGGATAAATTCCACAGCATGTCAGTAATTTCAACCCTACAGGCAAATCAGAAATACTATGTCCAAAGCAATGTGATAATCAGCAAGTTGGCTCACGTCGTTTCTGTGTCTGCAGAGGACGATCAGAGTATTCATTGCAGAATGGAATCAGGTAGAACGGTGAGGCTCCTATACTTGGTAGCTGCCACAAAAAAAAACAAATAGAAGTCTAAAAACTTGTTAGTGGTCCAGAGGTGGTTGAGGGGATGATCAGTTCAGAGATTCTGTGTCCTGGGCAAATCAAAAATCAGCTACCTGGCCTTTAGCAAATGGGCTCAGAGCAGGTGGGCTGGCAGCAGCAGGCTGGGCGGCAGCTGGACTGTCCACAGTAGGATGGGCGGCAGCAGGAGGCCTGGGCATAGTGCAGCTGGCAGCAGGATGGCGGGGTGCAGCTCACCACACAGGAGGGGGGCAGAAAGGTGCCCTCCACCCGGCAGTCTGGGCGGCACCACCTGGCACGGTAGCTCATAGCTCCGCTGCCACCCTCCTGGCCAGAGCCGATGCCACCGACGATGCCACCGCCGGTCCGGAAGCAGCTGGGCTCGAAGCAGCTTGGCTGGCAGTAGCTGGAGCCACAGGTCGCACTGGTGGAGCAGCTGGGGAACCCGCAGAAGCTGGTGTGGCAGCAGGCCATGGTGTCAGGAGTTGGGCTGAGAGTTGGGTTGTTTGGAGAAGTTTCTGAGTTTTGACTCTGACTTCCACATGGGGCCTTTTATATACCTCAGCCGGCTGCTGTTTACAAAATTCTTAACATTCTTCCTCGTTTTTGTTTAAATTTGTTCCTCAGTGGTCCTCTGAGTGGCGTACATTGAAATACTTAGGATGCATTATTAGCAGCAGTTTGGAAATTGCCTTATTTTATAGTTCCATTAGGATTCGTCATATCAATCCTTTGCTCTTTGAAATATGTTTGTGGTTTTCTATGTTCAAAGAGTTCCTCCGTTTTAGTCCAAGTCAACACCCTCATTTTGTAAAAGTAGTTATTCCACGTGACAATATGCCCATGTGTCTAAAGTCAAGGGTAATTGTGCTCTTGCTTTTAACACTGTTTTTTCCTCCTGGATATATAGACTGAATTCTCCTGAATTTAGGACATCAGGGCATCCGCTGAATTTAAGGAGTACCTTTGGCTGTGCGTGATTAAAAACTACCAACTTACTTGTTCCAACATCAAATCAAATTACCATTATAATTTCCTTGCTTTCAACTAGTTTGAAATGTGTAAACTATTATTAGTGTTTCAGGCCAGAAATCTTTTCTTATGAATAAAATGACAAAGTCTATACAACGATAATCAGCAGAGTGCCTAACTTGTAGCAGAACCTTAATAAAAGTTTGTTGAACCTGTTTTTGAAAGGGTGAAGTAGAAGGCATGATTCATGGACACCTGTACCACTTACAAATGCCATTACGTTAAATAGAACTTTGAAGCTGTAGTGCCTCTCATGAAGGAGTCCTTGTTATTTCTTGTTTAAAAAAAAAAAAAAAAGACTAGGAAATGTTGAGTTATTTTTGTCTAGATTTAGTTGAACCAAGGCTCAGGAAAAAAAAACATCTAGGAGTTATTACACGTTGAAGAATACACCGCCATCTACTTTATTCTTCTCTGAAGTTCTTGTTGTTGTATATGATCCATTATTGCCACAATTAAATGATAGAGGTAAGTGCTGGGAGCTCATAAATAACTTAGAAGTGTCATATGTTTGTACCCCATTGTATCTTGTACATTTCACACACTATTTCAATGATGAATTGAAAAATTAAATGCAAGAAGCCATTATTTTGTTGTTGTTCCATGCTTACGTTGACTTCTTAAGAGACTATTTTCAAGTTGGGTTGCAAAGTACAAAATATAATTGTTTCAGATTTCTTCAGCATCTGTCCCACAAATGGTGATGGATGAACTCAGTACTCTCCATATTTGCTCTACTGTCATTTAGACCAGAAACACACCTCATACATGCTTATAGTAAAGGTAGGTGAATTTTGAGAGTTGAAATATAGAAAGCAATTTGGAGATCAGTGGGAAGAATATGATAGACTAAGGCATGGAAGAAGCTAAATGCTCTTGGAAATTGCATCTGGTGGCTGTACTTTAAAAATTTATTTAGTAGGTAATAAAATTTCTTTACATATTGGGCATGCACGAAGGAGAACATATAGTATATTAAATAGAAAGAGATTAAAGATGTTATCGGAACATCTAGATAGGAATCCCATAGCTTCGATCAACCTGAAAATTTTGGCTAAAAGTGGCCTTATCAGTCGAGACCTAACTGTAATATGCTACAGCATGTGAGCATTTGAAGAACTATAAAGACTATTTAATGCACACAGCACTTAACTGATGGACTCAAGCATAATTAAATTTATATTTAATCTTTCTGGTTTAGACTGTATGTATATACCTTGGTGTTATCGTCAAAACGCAAATCCACTCTTCTCAAATTCCAGCTAGAGTTAGACAAGCTTAAAGGTAGAAGGAGGACAGTAAGTCAGTTTGCTTTGCACATTTAAACATTTTATTTGAAATTAACAGAAGACAGTCAACGAGAAAGCAGGTCTGGAAATACGTGGAGGTGAGGAAATAGGGAGGAGACCGGGGATGTCACTGAAATGAAGAACTGCCCATCCTGGTACCCTTCTAAAGCCAGGCAGGCGATACAGAACACTCTGCTTGATGCCTGTTTTCAGTGAGTTAAGCACATCTAAGGGGCTCCTAGGACTTTGTTATTTCTGATAGATGATACCCAGCATTCAAGTAAAAATTGAACACTTCAGGTGAGTGCAGTTTTGCTACCCTTCTCCTTTCATTCTGAACTGATCAGCAACCCAGCCTTTAGCAAGTGGGCTCAGAGAAGGTGGGCTGGCAGCAGCAGGCTGGGCGGCAGCTGGACTGTCCACAGTAGGATGGGCAGCAGCAGGAGGCCTGGGCATGGTGCAGCTGGCAGCAGGATGGCGGGGTGCAGCTCACCACACAGGAGGGGGCAGGGAGGTGCCCTCCACCCGGCAGTCTGGGCGGCACCACCTGGCACGGTAGCTCACAGCTCCACTGCCATCCTCCTGGTCAGAGCTGATGCTACCGCCAATGCCACCTCCAGTCCCGCAGAAGCTGGGTTGGAAGCAGGTTGGCTGGCAGCTGGCGATTTGGCAGAAGGTTGGCTGGCAGCCCCTGGAGCCACAGGTCCCACTGGTGGAGCAGCTGGGAAACCCACAGAAGCTGGTGTCGCAGCAGGCCATGGTGTCTGGAGTTGGGTTGAGAGTTGGGTTGCTTGGAGAAGTTTCTGAGTTTTGGCTGTGACTTCCACCTCAAGCCTTTTACATATTTCCTAGAGCTGCATATATCCCTAACAGTTAGCATCTTTTCTTGATACCGCTTGCAAAGTCAGTCTCTGACTGGCTTACATCTGAGTTGTTTAGGGAAGTTATATAAATAGCCTTTCAATTGCCTGTTTGGTCATTGCTCAGTTAAGTTTCATTATGTTTCTTCTCTGCCCTCTGGACTAAGTGAAGGCTCATCATAGAAGCCAATCATGACAGTGCCTCTGTATGCAAGTCACATGGCAGACTAGACCACTAGGCCAAGCGTTGCTCTGTCTCTGTTTGTCACACATGTCCTTTGATAACCTTTACGCCGAGTCAGGGCTTCACACTGGTTTGAATCAGTTCAGTCATGGCTGACGGAGCGAAATTGGAACACACCCAAAGTTTCAGATTTTGGGTGAAGCAGAACAATAAATGGAACAGGAAAAATTACAGGTTGAAGCCCTGGAATGGGAGACTCCAAAGAGGTATAGTGAGCCCTTTCAGGAGACTGATGAGGGAGACTGCATTATTGCCAGGACTGTGGAGAGCAACACGCATTCGGAGCAGCGCCGTTGACCGCCATCTTTGAGCCAGGCACTACTGTTTCCAACTCTGCCCATTAAGAGATTTGGTTGCTATACAATGCAGACACTGCCCTTGTTTTCTAAGAGGGATATTAAGTTTCTAGCCGGGCATCGACCCATAATTTTTCCCATTCCAGTACATCCACATTTTACAAATTCGGGTCCATTCCAGTTTCGCTTCATCAGCCATGGCTAAACCAGGAAGAACTGGTTCTAAGCCCTGGGCAGAGTTTGTCTAAATGGAATATTTCCTTCCGAAGTGGTTACTCAATTAAGGATCGTGACTTCATAAACAATTTGTCCAGACTTTGAAAGACTAATATTATTGTCATCGAAACATGAGTTATTAACATCAGTATCCAAAGGAAATATGCCTTTCTGTGATCAGTTTTTGCAAACTACAGGATCATTAGAGCTCTAAATAGTATTCTTGACTTCAGTTGTCAATGTACATATTCCCAACAGGTATTTTACTCAACTGAAACCCATAATGACTTTCGCTTATAGATTGTTTTGACTCTGCTAGATTAAAAATATATACTAGTAGTGGATGAAGGAGTCATGGTGGTGCAATGGTTAAGCACTTGGCTGCTAAAGGAAAATCAGTGGTTCAAACCCACAAGCTGCTCCACAGGAGAAAAGACCTGGTGATCTGCTCCCATAAAGATTACAGCCTTGGAAACCCTAAAGGTTAGTTCTTCTCTGTCATATAGGGTCACTATGAGTTGCAATCAACTTGATGCATACATAACAACCGTAGTGGATGTGCTTTGTAGCAAGTCAAATAGTGCAGAAGCATATAAAGTTAACTCCCTATTCCCCTCCTTCTACATACATCCCTTCCAAAACGAGTACTCTGGAGATAATCAACATTAACAGCTTGGTGTATATTCTTCTACTCCTTTCTCCATACTTCTGCAAATATAAACCAACATATAGAAACATACATCTTCTATTTCAATAAAGTTTGGGTCTACTGTACATATTACTTATTCTTTTTAGTAACTGTACAATATTCCAGAGTATGACCATACGGTAATCTATCATCCCCCCTTAGTAGTGTTCAGTTTGTGGGTTTGAATTAAATATATAGAGAGAACGAATTTTAAGCTGAAAGGGACCTCAGTAGGTCCAGGCTTAGGTGGTTAGGAATGGTCACAAGGTATAGGGGACTAAGCTCTTAACTGAGAATTAAATTAATTAAACTGAATTGGCTTCTCAAACTGGCTATACCACTAATTGGCTGTGCAGCCTGAGACAAATCACTTAATCCCTCGAAACATTGGTTTGTTCATCTGTAAAAAAGAAATCATCTCTCAGACACTATGCAGGGCTAAAATTGTCTAATTGCTCTACCAGATCATTCATTCCCTGAGGGCAGGAACTGCCCAGGCCTGATTTGTCTTGACATTCTGCACAGCACCTTCCACACTGCCTTACCTGAAGATATCCAGTAAATGCTTGTTGAATAAAAGAATGAATGAATGGTTAGCAGTGTATGGCAATGATGAAAAGCTGAATTGCGTTTTACCAAAGGCACTTGCCATTTTATTTTATTTTATTTTTTAGCAGGAGCAGTTAGGTAGTGATACCTGAGAGTGGTCAGCAGTTAGAACCAAAGGGGCAAGAGGACAGAACGTGTCTCCATTTCTACCCTGTGGTTCAAGAGTCATTCCTGGATTGAATCAGGACTCTAGATGATATTTTCAGGAAAAAAATGGATTCTTTGCTCACATGTCATCTTTTATTCGTGCTTTTTAATCTCCTCCTTTTCATTAATCCTTGAATGAATAATACAGTGTAATTTTAACCAAGGTAATATTTTCATAAGAAAATACCTTCAGTTCTGTGAGTTGAAAGAACCACGAATTAATCCTGACCCTGTCTGGAAATTTATGAAACATTCCTTGATACTTGTGTTTCAATGTATATACATTTAATGTATATGTGCATTGTATATAAATGTATATCTGTATGTAATAAATGTGTGAATGACTGTTAAGTGAGCATTTTAAAAACTAGATATATTTATTCCAAAAATAGAGCAAAACTGTTTTATGCCCATATCTCAACACAATGGGAAAAAAAAAGTTTGGAGTAAAATCTGTAATTGAGAG